AAACCTCAAAACTCTATACAAAACTAACTTTTTCTAAACTACAAAGTTTAAAAGTTCTGTTGAATTAAAATAATTCATTTTACTAACTTTTTTTATATTTAACTAGAATGATGATTTATACTACTATTAAAAAATTTATCTATTTACTTTGTTTTAATAATTTTTTTTTTATTCTAACTCTTAAAAAAAAAACATCATTTATAATCTACTTATTTTTATTAGAATAATTGTATTATCACTATTTTCAAAATGATTAAAAATAGCAAATAAATTTTTTTTTTTTTAATATATACTCGCATATTTAATTACCTTAGCATGTTTGATTAAAGATTGATGTCTAATTTTATATAATTGTTCTGATAAAATTGATCATTAATCTCTAATCAAATGTGCTAAAATAATCAAATATACAAGTATATAGGTATATGAGTGTATGCCAAAAAAAAAAATTTATTTGCCATTTTCAACTATTTCAAAAACAGTGATAAATTAAAAGTATATTAAAGCTTGTATAAGTTAAATATAAATATAAATCAAAGTTTATCATTCGTATACAAACTTTTCCCAAACTAATTAATTAAAAACAGCTTATAACTTTTTTTACTAAGTTAATTTTAGTTTTGCTACTAAATAAACTTGTTTTTCATACAAAAACACATATAATACTTAAGTTTTAGCTTTAAACCTTTCAAACTTATTGAAAAATAGCTCTTTGGCTTTTTTCTTAAAATTCATAAATAACTTAAAAACTGCTATCTAAACCTTCTTCCCAAGCTTAAGAAAACTTAAAGAGCTTACTATCCCCATCATAACAAGCTATAGCACAAGCTTGTAAACCCAAACCTGACAAAGTTATACTCAAAAAACTCCAAACTCACTTTATTTTTTATTTTTTCCTTTTGTCTCCTAAAACACACTTAGATACATTTTTCATATAATCTTCTACTGCATAACCTACATTGCCTAAGATAGAGAAAATGGCATGGCAAAAAAATTTTGGTATACTATCTAGCATGCCATTTGCTAAATTCATGTCAATATACTACCCTAGTATGCCATTATGCTACATAATAGGTTTACTTAATTTAGATTGGTCAATTATCATATACTATATAAACCTCCTTCCAAAATATTCCAGAACATTGCACTTGACCTTCCTCATAACTATGTATATTTGGAATATTTTAGAATAACATATAAGTGGCATGCCCTATTGACTATTTAAGTATTAGGCATGTCTATAGCATGCTACTATTAGCATGCCATAGTAGCATGCCTATGACCTTTGTGCCACTTACTCTAGCCTAGGACTCAAATCTTAGTAGTTTATCTTCAATTACACCAACTATATTTAATTTTCTTTTAATTTAGTATAAGATTAAAACTTTAAATTTTACTAAAACATACTTATGGTATTTTTACATCATAGGTTTTATTTATCAAAAATGTACTAAGTAAATGAGATTGGGTTTTCTAAGTAAAAATATTCAAAACCTCCAAAAACCTCACAAAAACTAAAATTAAAATCTTTTATTAGCTCTATAATATATTATATAAAAAAAATAATAATTCTTAATTTCCTAACCCTAACTCTAAATTTTATTAAAAAAAATTATATTTAGGTGCTAAAACACTATAAATGCATTTTATAATAATTCTAAAACTTTAATAAATTTGGTTTTATTAAATTTAAACAGAGTAACCTTTAGCACTAACCAAATTAATGTAACATATATACCTGTTATATGCAATGATCAAACTCATAATTACCTAGCACCTTGTGATTATTTGTCATACTCTGTACTTATTTGTTACATCTCTATACTTATTTGTCATACTCTATACTTATTTGTCACACTCTATATTTATTTGTCACATCTCTATATTTATTTGTTATATTCTCAAACATGCTTCTAACAGACCCCACTTACTGATATTATTATTATAATATTAATTAATTAATTCTAACCAACTATATCTATTCTAACAAGCCAAGAACCTAACATTCTTGATCTTGATTACTTTTATCAAAACAATGCTAGAACTTATAAAGTTGCAATATATAAAGATAAACTAGAAGTTACTAAAGCAATTTTCAAGAGCTTTAGACCAACTGCTCGCTTTAATAAAGACTTCTACAACTACCAAAAAATCATATACTTCTTTTCTGCCTTACTCTCAACTGCTACAATTACCTGCCTCTGCAAAAAATATCATATTAAATTTATAGCTAAGGATAACAAAATCTATGCCTTTAACATGATTATAAATGCAACAATATCAAATACACAAACCAAAAAGCTTATGCAAAAACTTAAAAACACAACTCAATCAATTCCACAATTTCTAATTCCACAACAACAAATATACTCTAAAGATACACTAAACACATCCTTATTACTCTTTTATACTTATACTTATTTAAACTGCAACTAAGTTATTAATTGCAAATCAATCAACAATCATCACTTACCTCAAAGCGACTTAATCAAATATAGTAAAAATTATTATTACTCAAGCTATATTACTAATACCTCTTTCTCTATCTCCTACATTAGCAAATTTTAAAACCACAATATTGTGCAAAAATTGCAATTAACATACAATATTGTAAAAGATTTTAAAAAATTGTAAATAGTTGCAAAATTTATTAAAAAAATCTACAAACTTTATAGGTAGCTATGTTCAGCACATTATTCTGGTCATAATGGTAGTTAAATTATCAAAATCGGCCTAATATTTGCTGAGATAGCTTAATTGCAATATTTGTATAATATTTTAAATATTGTGCAATATTGTACAATATTCAAAATATTGTACAAATATTGCAATTAAGCTATCTCAGCAAATATTGGGCTAACTTTGATGATTTAACTACTATTATGACCAGAATAATGTGCTGAACATGGCTACCTATCAAAAGTTTGTAGATTTTCTTAATAAATTTCACAATTTTTTAAAATTCTTTACAATATTGCATATCAATTTTTTTTTTTTTATTCTTAGTCGATCTTGTCAGAACTTATGTACAGTTTACAAATTAATCAAAAAGACTAATTCTAGTTGATACCAACAAAGCTGCAACTACAAGCCCGACCTCATCTGGCTACTACTAGATACCCAGATACGACTGTCACACTAATTCACGGATGACTTGGAATTTTGATTAGCTTTTTAAGAACTAAACCAAAAGGATATTGACTCTTCACATATTACTTCTTTCATACCTTCTTCATAAAGCCTTTTGACCTCTATTCTCCATTCTAAGATCTGCACCTTTTTGCTATCTGCTTCGTTTTGCTTTCTTGTTCTCTTTTCTTGTAGACTTGCTTTATTCGCTTTGGAGTTTTCTTTTTTCCTAGAGTATGACTTCTTTTCCATGATAGTAATCACCTTTTCTTTTTTCTATTTGCTTGTTATTTGACAATAATGAGACCAGATTTCCTTGTAGAAACCTTCTTCTATAAATTTAACAAAAATTTAATAGCTCTGCCTGCTTTGGATTGTGTTAGATCTACTTTTCTGAGCTCTTCTAACATGTTTACACTCTATAAACCGTTTATATAACCTAGATGTCTTCTGCATATGTTAGTCTTGTTCTTGTACAAGCTACTTATGAAGGTATTTTTTGCTAATTTCTTTTTGGTCATATCATCCAGAACCTTCTATTCAAGCTCACCTGTGATATTTTTAATATTAACCCAATAGCCTTCATATGCTTTATACACTATTAAGTGTTCGACTGTTTCTTCATTTTTGCAAGCACAGCATGTACTTGTATTATAAACTTCTGGCTTTCTTTTCTTCAGAACTGCCAATACTAGTAATTCTCTGCATAGACATTTTAATCTAAAAGCAAATCATTTACTTGCTTCTAATGACTTGCACTTGATACCTGTCATTTTTTTATTTTGTTGCCAGAATAATCTCCAGTTGTACCTAGCTTCTTGGTTGTACTCAAGAGATTATACTGCACTTGATATTCTTCATTCAGCTTCTACCTTCATATTCATTAGCATTTTGATTAGCTTTCTTGTAGGGATCTCTACTAGGAAATTGTTCCAATATAAGCTAAATAGGTATCTAGGATTGTTTTCTATTTTAAGATTTGAGCAAATATTTAATCTTGTTCCTTCTTTTGCTAATATATCTGCCCTCTTATTCTATCTTACTTCACTATGAGCCTTGACCTTAATCAAATCTAATGAAATATATTTTGACTTGCACAAATCTTTAATCAACAAAACCAGCTTATAATTTGTCTTTCTACTCCACTTTTTTGTATTATCTAACTGCTTGTCATACTATAAACTTGTAATTGCAGCTTCACTATCTAAATTAATTACTACTCTACTATTACTAGTTACTGTTAACAAAGCCAACCAAACTGTGACCAACTCTGCCTTTGTTGATAAAGGCCAACCCTCAAATCTGACTTTTTCTTCAACTATCTGAAAATCCTCTTCTTTGTTAACCTGTATTCAACTTGCTCTCATTATATTCTTTCTATCTATTTGGGCTAAAGATCTATTAGTGTAGAATATATAGTTCTTTTATTTGTAGTGATATTTGTGTCAAGCTGCTCTTCTAGTATCTCTTCTAATACTCTGTTAAAACTATACCATCCTATAAAACTCTTTATATGTTTTTCTATTTCTATTGAAATTAGCTCTTGTTCTCTTTCATCTTTCTTTTCTTTATCTGTCGCTTTTCTGTACCCAACTATTTTTTCGATTAGTGCTAGTTTTTTAGAGCCTGTCTCTTGATTTGTTATTTGAATTGACTCTAATATATTTTTTTTCCACCCAGAACTCGCATTCTAAATTTTTTTCATGCTTTCTTTTACAATTTTTACACTTATCTAGAGTTGGCTTCTTGTTCTTGATGTTTTTCTCTAATTTCCAATATTCAATCAGGAATTTGGTTTTCTTTTTTCTTTTAACTCTACCTACTAACAAGACTTCTTCTTCATTATTGTTCACTATAACCTATTTGTACTTTTATTTATCAGTTGATACTTTCTTCATATAAGCTTTTATTGCCATTGCATTTGGTTCTTGAATCTGAGCTTTGATTTTTCTTATATTTCTGCTCTGGTCTATTTCAAAATAGTTTTCAATAGCTTTGAACCATTTTGGTTTATGACCTTTCAAAGACCTCGCTTACAATGCATAAAATTTTTTCTATAACAAAACTCTGTAACCATTGGCTTCAATCAACTGATTTATAAAAATCAAGTTGTACTCTTGTATACTTCTGCATGCTTTATAAAATACTTCATCTCCTATAATTTCGTAGATTGTTGGCCCAGAACCATGGATTTTCCACAGCTTATTCGTTGCACTAAATATTATACCTAACTCTCATGCTTTAAGCAGGATTGTGCATGTTAAGTTGTTTCTTCAAATCTTCTTGATACTTGGACTTCTTGACTCCTTCTATCTTTCTTCGATTAGACTAGCTAGTAAAAAACCTTGACATATCCTTATCTTTGTTAACTTGTTTACTTGGTTATTACTATTTAGCCTATCATAAAGATTTGTTACTTGGTGATACAAAACTTCTTGTCTGAGTATTTTGCATCTACCAAGACTCTGATGTGTTATTATATAATTTCCTGTTAATGCTGCTAGCCCTATTTTATTCTTGATTAGTCTGATAAAAGGCTAGTGTATTTTATCTAGTGTTGATTGTAATAGTTTACTGTTCTGTAATATATATGCTAATTTTGGCACTAAACACATATTGTTTATATATACTAGCTAACTTATTGTTACTTTTTTGCAGTATAGTAATGATGCAAACTGTTTGACTATAGCTCTTGCCTTTTTTACTATTTGTGCTTCACTTGTACAACTACTTAACCAGACACTAAGCAATCTTGTGATAGCTTTTTTCCTCTCTGCAATGATTCTATTATTTTTAATCTCTATATAGTTTTCTTCTTTTCTCCTCCTTGAATTTAGCACAAATAGTTTTGATTTTTTACTGTTGATACTGTTGATACTGATATCATTTAGGGCAAAAAATCTCTGTGAAATCTCAATTATCTTTTCTATTTGGTCTTTATTTTCAGCTATCCATGTAGTGTCATCTGCAAAAACAACTGCAGCTTGTCTAACCTCCACATATTTAACAAAGTTGGTATTTATATCTAGCATCTTTTTACTTTGAATTTTGTACCTGAGATTTGGATCATCTTGAATTCTTCATAAAAAAGGGTCATAGAATATTCTCCAAACCAGTAGTGAGATCGTTTCTCCTTGTTCAATTTCGTCTCCTGCTATGAATTTGTCTATTGTTCCATAACTTGTTATTACTCTAACTCTTCTCTCTACAAAAAGTTCTAATACTAGTTGAATTATTCTTTTTGGTAGTTTTACTCTTTCTAGTACTAGCTTTAATGTTGTTATCGAGACTGAGTCATAGGCTTTTTTCATATCTTGTAAAACAATTTACAGCTCCTTTTTATTTTCTTTAGCTTCTTTAAGAATTATATTAACTAGCTTTATTGCATTAACTGTTGAGCAACCTGGTAACCCTGCAAAATTTAAACCTTTTAAGATGTGTTTTTCTTCTACAGTCAACTTTTTCTATACTGAACCCTTGGTTCTGGCTAAAAAAAAAGTTTATTATACAGTATTACTATGTTTTCTTAAGAGCCGTATCTCTTGTTATACCAAATTAATATTAAAATTTAAAAATTTTAAGTTCATTATATCAAGAGTTCATTATAAAAAGGTTTGTTATATACAGAGTTGACTGTATAATCTTAAAAACTTACTTAGTTAGGATTTTGGTTATACACTTTCTAAATGTCTCTAAAAGTGCGATTGGCCATATATTATTAAGATCAAAGTTCCAGCTTTCGCCTTTTAGTATTGGGTATATTTGTGCTATTTTCTAATCTTTGAAAATAAAGCTATCTTTTAGGCACATGTTTGCAAAAGCTTTAAATATATCTTGCATCTTGGGGCTTGACTTTTTAATTAGAATATAACTAATTCTAGATATATCTGGTACCATTTTGAGCTTTGTTTCATCTACGACTTCAGTCCACTCCTTAATTGATATATCTGCAGTAAGGCTATCATACTAGCTCTTATCGACTTCAGCTAGCGGTTTGTAAAATTCACTATATATCTCCTCACTTATTGCTACTCTTTTTTTCTTAAACTGCTACTCAAAATACAATCTCGTTGCTTTTCTTACTTCATTGGGCTCGTTTATCAGGGTAGTACCTTTCTTCTCTTGTACAAAGACCTTATCAATCTTAACTTTTTTTTTTGTTTATCAAGTAAACTTGCTAATATTTTACTTACTTCTTCATTTATTCTTATATACCTTTTGTCTATTGCTGTCTTGATTTCTCTTCACTCCTGCTCTTTGCTCTGTATATTGCATGTCAATTGCAATTTTTGCGCAATATTGTAGTTTTAAAATTTTGCTGATGTATATCTTTGGTCCATCTGACAATACTATTAGACAATGCATAGAACAACTATCAAAATTCTTGAATAATAATACAAATGACGATCTAACTACATCTTATATATCTCTATATTTACAATAGCAAAAACTCACATAGTCAACTAACCAACCACAATTCAAAACCTTTCCTTTTTTTGCTAAATACCAAATAACAGCCTTATTTTTAACATCTAGTGCTATTAACAACTTCTTTCAACAACCTATATTAACTCCCAAACCTTAACCAAATCCTCTTAATAATCTTTTTTCTCTTATCTCTATACAAAAAACTTCTACTACAAACATCCCTGGTATAAATATAAAAATCAACCAATCTATTATTTTCCAGAAACCCTTTACTATTAACAAATTCTTTACAAATCACAACACTACTAAATCTTTAAACTCAAATACAACCAAATTTTCTAACAACACTTACTCTTCTGCAACAGATACTAAATTATCATATCTAAATACAGTCTACCCTTGTTAATATCAACTTCGTTAATATCAGCTTAAAGCTATAAGATGAATTTTTACAAATTGTTATATATTAAAATTCCCTCATATATATCAACTTAATTATAATCCTTTGTTAATATCACTATCAACATGGGTTGATATAAACGAGGGTAGACTGTATATCCAAATTCTCTAATATTATTTACTCTTCCACAACTAAAACCAAAAGCAAAAAAAGCAATAACAAACTCAAAAACCCAACTAATACATCCCAATCTAATGCTCAACCTATACTTGAATCTGATCCTAAACCAAAATTTAACATATCTTTTGATTGACTATTCAACTTCTCTATTACTCAAGAGATAAAACCTAACAAAAATTCCAAATCAAGCTTTTTCATTAATTATTTAGATTTCTAAAATCTCACCTTTATGATTTCTTTCCTGAAAGAAAAATTAAACCTGCAAAATCTAATCAACCAATCTACAAAGCCTCCTTTAAACACCTTCTTTGCTTTATAGCCAGCTCTCAATCACAATTCTTTACAGAAATTATCTTCAATTACAATCCCAACATTGACCCCAATACCACTATTCCTTTTAGCTATCTGGAATTTATACTTAAAACAATAATTCTATAATTTACTATAGTTTTTTTCACTAAACTAAATTACAAAGAAATCTTTTTTTTTTTTTTTTTTTTTTTTTTTTTTAAGAGAGGTTTTTCCTCTATTCCTTTATTTCAAAATATATAATTGAATACAACTCGTACAAATTTATACATTTAATGAAAAGAAGTAGAAGTTAGAGCTAAGATTTACTCTCGACCTATTCTTAGCTAAAACAGTCAAAAAATCTCTAGACTATGTAATTAAGAAGTGGGGATGTAGAATTATTTTAAATGAATTTGTTAATCTATACAATGAATTGTCTATCTATTAAGCTAAGGGGAGTATCAGTTTCTAAAGAGGTAATAATAACTAAGAAGTTAGGGGTAAATTGTTGTATACAAGTTTAGCTTGGTTTCTATATTTCTTTATATATGCTTTTAGTGATTGTATAATATATTTGTGAAATTATAGTATTGTTTTGAAGAGGTAACCCTAATTTTGTAGGTGTTGTTGAGCTGATGAATCTAATAGAGATTTGTTTTTTGATATGGATTGTGATAAAGTCTTGTATAAAATTATGAATTGTTGGTATGCTTATTTTGTTTGTTTGACACGCTTTAGTTATTGATTTATGTATAATTTTTTCAATATTAATTAGATTGTGCGAGCAGGTGAGCATGTGGACTGTATCTTCAAGTATTTGAGAGCATTTCACACAAAAAGGATTGGGGTGTATTGATGAGTTTTTGTGGTATAGATGTAAGTGAGTTTGCAGTTCGGAAGTTAATAGTTTTACTTTGAAAGTTTTTAGGATTGATTTGGTAAGGCAGGTATTTTGACCAAGTGGATTGTCCTGATAATTTAGATAGTCAAAGGTTAGTTTCCAGTTAATATTTAGAAGTTTTTGTATGATTGATTTGATTCAGTTTTGTTCATTCCATTGAATAGTAGCTTTTGCTTTTTGGATGATTTTGGATATTTGATAGATCGAATATGTTATAGGAATATCACTAATACAGGATATAAAGTTGGAGTTCAATACTGCTTGTATTGAGAGGTTAGTGTGTTGTTGGAGATTTGGTGTTAGAATCTTGATTTTTTTTTTTAATAGGTTTGTGTTAATAATGTGGTCTTTAGCCAAAATGATCACTCTTATTGTTAATATTATATTGTTAAATGAGATTTTGCGAAGATGTTGTTGGTAGCAGTGTTGTACATTGGACGTGTCTAAACTATGTTTTTTGTCCAATATCCAAGATTGTCCAAAACTGTCCAAGCCTATGTTCAAGGTTTAAATAATTAATAAATTAATTTAATAAATATATAATTATATATTTTTTTAGATGCTGGGTTTATTTTTAAAAGAATTAAAATAGATTATTTTAATAAAATTTTAAGTAATTTTAAATTGAAAAAATGTCAAAAATATCCAAAAAATATCCAATATACAACACTGGTTGGTGGTATGATGGAAGATTAAGTATAGATTGAATTTTTTATTGTAGCTATCTTTTGTCGATAGTGATATTTATTTTTGTTTGGGAAGGAAGAATGGTGTAATTTATTGCTAGTATTGTAAATATAGCATAGGTATGAGATAGGAAGTATTTGTTTATAGTGTGCCAAATTTGCTAGTTGTGTTAAAACTGAATCTGTAAGAA